GCAACTTTGAGTATCCAATTATTTTGCAAACCATTTCATTTTCAAATAATAACGAATAAATTGAAAACAATTCATTTAAAACACTCTTTGGCCGGCCCGAAGGGAACAATGGCCCATGGTCAAGATCTGCCCGCCCTGCGCCCAAGCGCCGAGGAGGAGCGCGCATGCGGCTGGCAAAGAGGGCTTGCCCACGGCCGCTTGCTCGGCCGGCCTACCGGTCGGTCAAGCAGAGGTCGGTCACGGCAAGGCTGTGCGCGACGACGCTGGCTTCGGCCACGAGGTCGGGCGGCCATCTCCGCCCACGGCAACAAGCAAGCAAGCGAGCGCAGGAGGTTCGAGCGAGGCCATGGCGAAAACGAGCAGCAAATGGCAAGCACGACCGAGAAGGGGAGGAAGAGGGCGCCCCACGGCCGAGCACGAGGCGCACATGCGCCACGACGGCGGCGGAAGCTTGGAAAAAGCGCCACTCGGCTCAAACGACGGCACAACCACGAGCACCAGTGCCGGAGAGCGAGGCGGAGCTGCTGGTGCTTGATTGCTGGTCGTGGAGGAGCACCGGCGGTGAATCACGCCGGCGGGTGCGTGGCTGCGGCGAGGGGCGAGCTTGAGGCTCTCGGCTCGAGGAGAAGGAAGGCGGCATGGCGGGAGTGAGCGAGCGACGGGCACCAGCCAGTGAAGGCGCGGGCGTGGTGCGTGTGTCGCGTCATGGTGCGACGCTGCGCGGCGGGCGACGCCGGCGCGGGGTCGCCACGCGGTGGAATTTCTCTGCTGCTGGCGTGGCGTGGCGTGTGCGCGAAGGGGGATGGGATGGCGGGCGGCGCAGCCGGGCAGTGGCCTGGCGCGGCTGGGCGGGCGAGGCGAGCGCTGGGGCTTTGGTTGGGCCGGCTTGAGGGGCTGGGCCGAAGCGAGGCGGCGGCTCAAAAATGTAAAAAATCCTTTTTCATTTGTATTTTCAAGGGATTTTAAATGCTATCTTTCAAATATTATTTTGAGCAAGAAAATGACCTCTTTTGAAAATGTACCAAAAATGAAAGTTGTTTAGAATTTAATTCTCTACAACTTTGCTTTTAGGACCACAGCCAAATTCTTTCTAGATTTTGAATTGAAAGATCAAAGTTCACGTTTAGCTCAAAACCCTAATTTTTGGAATTTATTTTTGAAGCCAAATTTTGAATTAATTTGAATACACACATTGCTCCAAAAATTGAACTAAACATTGCTAGATGATTTACAATAGCAGCCAAACATGTTCTACTAACCTAGCAAGCAAGAATCAGAGCAAAACAACTCTAATAAATGTATGCATCATTTACGTTTCACAAACATATTTCGTATGTTTCGAAGTAATGTTTCAGTTATTATATGCAAGATTATGCATGTATGATTAGGATGCTTGATGATGCATGATATGCATGATTTGTAGTGCCTAAATGTAGGCATAACACCGGGGTGTTACAGTTTCCAACCTGGTCGGCGAATTTGCCCCTTAGGACATCTTGGAAGGTGGCGGCGACGTTGGTGAACCCGAAGGGCAGAACCGCAACCCCTGGAGTTTTTCGAGCAGCCTCCGATAGATCTGGATCGGAGGGTGGTTGGCGCTGAACGAGAGTGTCCAGAGCTGATTTGGCGATGGAGAGGCAATCGGCGAGCTTCAGACCAACCTGATCGATGGATGCGATCAGATCGTCAGTGTTGATCTGCCTCCTCTGGTAGCGAGGAAGCGGGCGGCGAGTTGTCGATGAAGGCGACCTCGGAGGCGGTTCCGAGATTGGATCTGCAGTCGCAGGTGCTGGGGTGATCGGCGCAGAATCGATCTGCACCGGCTCGATGAGCTCTCTGACTCCGTCAGCTTTGATGATCCACAAGATCGATCTGACCGTGAAGATCTGGCCGGACTGCGGGAGGGACGAAGAGCCTGCGGAACATACCATCTTGTTCGATATAGAAACAGCACGCACACCCCTACCTGGCGCGCCAACTGTCGACAGAATATCATCGGTAGTCCTCCGAGGGGTATCCCACGAAGGTAGATTGATCAGCAGAGAGACGTGTAATCAAAAACAAGAAGGCAACAGAGACACACGAGTTAGACAGGTTTAGGTCATCAGTATGACGTAATACCCTACTCCTGTGATCTGTTGGATTGTATTGGCTATCGTATGATATTACATGAGTTTAGAGGGAGTCCCTGCCCGCCTTATATAGTCCGGGGTAGGGTTACAAGTCGGTTAGACCTGAGAGATAACCGGAAAGTAATAACAGATTACAGAAATCATGGGATCATACGTATCCTAACAGATCTCGTAGTATCTTTATGATATCTTCCCGGTGTCTTGCGGGAGGCGCCGAGCAGAGTCGTGCCCCGTAAGAATTCGTCTTGTGGGCTGGGCCACCCCGGGGGCACAGCCCATATGATCTGTCTTGAGTATCCGGGGTCGTAACACGGATATGGCTGCAACCTTTTCTGGTCTGGGCAGTAACTAAACAATCTAGCTACTTTTGGTGTCGACTCCTATATAGGTCCTACTAGATAGATATATCACCACACCACAAAGAAACATAATTTCATCATGATGTTTTTTCCTTCTTGTTTGGAAACCTGTATATGATTTTTTTTCTGGTGAGATTTAAATTAATAGCACAAAATTGACACATGAGAATGATGTGGTAATAAGTTAGCAAAAAATTGCTAGCTGGTTTTATTCCCTGTGGTTGAATCTACTCACCTGGAGTTTAACTATGAGGAGGTTAAATGATATTATTTTTGTTATCACTGATATATTAATTATAATAGATAATGAGAGATATAAAGTAAATAAACACAAACTGAGACCATATAAGTTCCAAATAATTCCAATCTATGCACCATAATATAGAACATGATTTTTGAAAATATCTAAAACTGGTTTCATTTTTTATAAGCTAAAGTAAATTTTCTATGATAAGACCAGATTTTGGAATATTAAATTCCTTATTTTTTTACAAAAAATGGGTAGCTCCCTAAAGATTTTTATTTAACTTTTTTTTGAAAAAGTTTATTTAACCCGTCTCTGTTATCAACTTTGTCCAATTTACATCGTCGTGGCTGATGTGGTGCCACGTAGATGTCTAGCGTGGTATCACGTGAGACTAAACCACTTGAAAACCATAAAAAAAGGTAAAACAACTGGTTTCAATAGTTGAAGGAGCCAAAACATCCTGTTTTCTAGTTCAAGGAGACGTGACCAACTCTAAGGGCCCGTTCGCTGGTCTGAAACTTGACTGAAAATACTGTTCCAGCTGGTTTATTGTGAGAGAAAAACAATGTTTGGCTGGTTTGATGAACAGTAACTTGTGAGGGGGAGCAGCCGGCTGGCTGGACGAGTCTAGACCAGCGAACACCACCTAAGAACACCTCTATATTTTTCCTCATTGATAGGAATAGAGATTTTAGCGAAAAATAACCACCAATAACTTCTTTAATTAGATATCTAAATATTGTCATTCTATATTCTAGATTTCTCGCTAGTCAAAGATGGAGAGCAAGATTGGCCTTTTAGAGTGCGTAAGGTATAGAAAAGATATGGCTTTTTAGAGTGTGTTAGATATAGAAAAGTTATTGGAAGGTGGAAATATAGAGAGCGAATTTTATTTAAATGGCTCTCTAAATAATGATTTAGAGAGTGAGTTCAAGAAAAACTCTTGAAGATGCTCTAAATCGGACCACAACGATGGTTAAAGGAGGTCAGAAGGTCTTTTTCTTTTCTTTCTGGATTGGCAACGCCGCCGGGCAAAATGGCATCTGCCCCCACATCAACATGAGAATGCGGAGTTGGGTTACAACTTACAAGCAATTTTCAGTTATAATGCATTGTGGACTAACCCGTCTAAGTCTTTCTGAAGCAGCTCATTTTGCTGTTCTTCTCATACGCCCCCAAAAAATACTCTCATTTTACTCTTCTTCTCATACACCCAAAAAAAAAAGGTAAAGAAATTATTGCAACCTTGAGCTTATAGAAATTAGTAGGCACCGTTTTCAATCTAAACAGCAGGTTGTTGCATTTACACGTTCTCAATACTACATGTATGTATCCACATTATTTGGTGTCAGTATACATTGCTACTTCTGCAACATGTAGAAGGAATGAATTGTTGACCAACCCTGAAATTCAAAACATATCCAAGGTTGGTAATACATCAAAATTCACTGAGGCTGGCTCCTGCAGAAGAGAGTTCAAGTAGGCTATGTTAGTAACTTGTAAAAGCCCAACGAATTCTTTGCACAATAATCATTAATAGGGAAATAGAGACTCAACAATATCACAGCAGTGCAACCAGACCTCTCGAGTCTCGAATTCTCGAGGGCTTGATTGCTTAAGAAATCATGGCAAACCTTTATGCCATTCCGCATGTAACATAACCACAAGTGTGACTTTAAAACAACTGCTGCTAGAACATTGAACTCAAGGGAAAGCTCAGGGCCAATGCACACTGTGATACAGGAACACAGAACAAAATCACTCTGAATTGGACAATCTTGGGTCACTACAATGTTAAGAATGTCATTTGGAAGGCTAGGTAGGTGCCATCCAAGTGCAATTTTTTTTGGAGTGACTAATACTCCAGGACAGAGCACAGGTCTGAATCAGTACAAATTTCTGACTTTGCCAGGGTGCAATGGAATGATAGAACAATTTGGTTCAGAAACAGGTTGGAGTGATCAGGGTGAGATTCACAATGCAAATGGACTGATGAAACAGAGAAAATAAATATTTCTAATTCCCAATGTCCCAAGCGGTTGTCCAACCTGTACGCTAAACAGCAATAACAAATCTTTTTTAGGGAAAACCCAAGCAAGATTGGGTAGGTTAGAGATGAAACTTGAAAAGTAAATTTCCTGATTGTATGTTGTACCATAAAAAACAATTCTGAAACCTAAGTAGCACTATTGTACCTTTACCAATTAGAAAGTTAAAATGAGAATGCACTCATCATGGTTCAGTAAAACTTAACTCCATTTCTTATTGGGAAGCCGTCCATCCAGGTTCATAAGCTTCCAAAAACCCAAGCTTTGCCTTGTTTGGGAGGTCATGTGGATGGACAAATGGAACCCCTTGTGGCCATCCAATTTCAGTTCTAGTGTTCTCACACGGACTATCCAACGACTGGATGTGGCTTTCACATTCTTTGAGATTGCAAAATCTCAGCTTGATGCCTTTCTTATCTGCAATGTCCTGAACACGCTCCTTCAGGACCCTCTGTGCTTCTAGGCGAAGTCTTTTAGAAGGAGGGAGTGGCTTTGTTCTTGCATTTCCCTTCTTTTTATTCATCACAGAGTTGAATGATGCTACACCAAACAACTGAGTAAGCCATCAATACATGTTATTCCAATAAAAAGAATACAGTTCTGTAAGGCCTGTGGCCAAAAGTTTAATAACAAATAAATCATGAACATGATCAATCACTTTCAGATTTACAAAACCATTGACAGTGAAGAGTACAAATAAAGAAAACCTTATCTAGTACACACTGATTAAGCTGCCTATCCATGGGGTTAACTCATTCATGCCAAACTTTAAGACATTTGATATATTATTGTGTTACCCACAATATGAGACCATGCTCGTATAAAAGAGTTGTATCATGTTGATTTATATAATATAATTCTACAAAGTCAGTTAGATGTTTTACTTTATCACTATGCAAGAAGAAACTTTTCATAGACTAGATCACTCCAAATCTAGGCATGGCTGGTCCAGATCTCCATGTTAATATTAATGATATGCATACTATAAAGAACACTGTTCTAAAAAGACCTCAGTTGTTCTTGCTGTAGATACACTTTATTTTCTTTTTTAAACTAGGGTGTTTACACTGTCCAGGATTGGACACATAATTGCACTTGTTTTGGACTACATCTTATTATAAATTTGTATAATATTGGGAACATATTCACAACAATATGTACTGGAAACATCACGCATTGGTTATACAAATGGTCACGCACGAGGCAGGCAGCGCAATTGGTGTCACAAAGCAGTTTTCTCCAGAACCAAGTAACCAACAGATGGCCATACACATAGTATCAGGCACTCTAATTTAATGAGGGAGAAGATATCATGACATGAGACACAACAACAGCTTTTTCATGTACTCTTTACAGTCACAAATAAGTGATGTTTTGGACATTAACATGGTCTTCAAAACACAGCTTTGACTACTACTTTTGTTATAATTTTTTTTTGAAACATAGTGAGCATACTTTTTTTTTTGTTATAAAGATACCTGTATATCATTATAAAATATCCAAACTCAATACATAATAAATAATACGCAACAAAAGTTTGGAATTGTTTACTTAGGACAACCCAAACATCACTTATTTGTGACTGAAGGGAGTACATGAAAAGTATATTTGCATATAGCAACGAGTCAGGCATTAACTTACCCGAATCTTGTTCTGTGTGTAATGATGGTTCAGTCTTAGGAAACAGTTGATCAGCAAAATGATCTGTCTGCGTGAAATCATTAACTGGTATGGGGACCTGAAACTGAGCATCAACGCCATGGCCAGCAGCTCTCATCTCTGAACCACTCAGCCTTGCAACTGATCTAGGCATGAGCTTGAACATCAAAGAACATCGCCCAAACATACATACATGTATGTTGTCAACCTCTGTTTTATGTACAGCTGGATTTACATAGCCAGCGGTTTCCTGATAAAGCGCAAGGCCAGGATAGACAACAACATCGTGTGGACCAATATCCCCATCAACAAGAATCCAGCGTCCATGTAAGTCATTAACATATAGGCCTGACCTATCTGGCTTAACTAGGGTAAGCAAAGTCTTATCAATCTGTTGCTCCTGCTCAGAAAACATGAGCAAGTGACCATTATCTTGAGAAGCAATGCTGTGCTGATGTGCTCCTTCAAATGATGGCCTTGAATGACAACATGCTGAAAGAACAGAAGATGATACTTCCTGGCTTCTCAAGGGTATGTTGTCAAGTATCTCAGTAAACGCACAGCTACGCAAATTCAATGAGAAACTGATTGCATCCATGATATCTTGAGAAACTTTACCCAGCACCGAAAATATGTCAGGCAAACCTGACGGAGGCAATTCTATTTCACCGCTGGGATCTGTTGCGGTAATACCAGGCCTGTAATCATACATTTCCAGACACATCTGAGGATCAACATAGTAACCAGAGGTCTTACACCATTCACGGCCGAGTGGACAGCCTCGCTCGAATTATACCCTCGCTGGTGGAAGAAATAGCAAGCCGAGTCCAAACCTGACCTCAACAAGGCACCATCAGCTGGTGACAGCTGAATGATGGCTGCCGAATACTGAGCCAGCGACTGCATCAGAGTCGATACGCACATCTTATAGCTGTCAGAAGGCAGGCCCTCAGAGGCCGTGAGATCAACTAGATGCACGCGGCCAAGCGATGCAAGAATATTTCCTGCTGCATCATCCATTAGAATTGATGCCGCTTGAGGATGTCTAGTTCAGTTCAGTGGAAGGGCGGGCTTGGGGCATGCGGGTTCACTCCCAGTCTTATGCGGATGAGCCTTTTTCTTTTCGAGAACTAGTACCGCCAATTCAAGCCGTCATACTTCTCCTCGTACCTTGCGAAAAAACGGCTTGCGTAGCGTAGGTCTCCTGCATGCCTATCTTGCGATAGCTAGTGATAAGTGGATTCAAGGGATCGAGCCAGATCTAATTGAGACACGACCTGGTCCCCTTCGAGTCCAAGTATCAGGTGAGCGCTATCCCCATCCGGCCTTCACCAAATGTCAAATGACAAATGACAAGAGCCTACCGGTACATCCTCCAAGCCAAGATGCGGACTTTAATGATAAATGCTAGGGTTATATCAATCATGCAATACCTAATAGTCCAGCTATCAGCCTATCTGCATCTTCTAAGACAATAAAATCCTTCTATTAGAGAATGAGAGCTTCTTCACACAAGATCTTTAACTTAAGTAAGGACTTGGTTTTCTTACCACTGCTTCCGTGGGCTGATCCGAGGGACAACACTAGGTTCCTGTCACACCGTATTCCAGTCAGAAAATAAGGACCATATGACTATTGGAAAAGGTAATAACTAAAGTGCATTTCATCCCTGCTCTCGCTTACTGTGCGCGCTTTCCTTTCGCCCACATCAAGGCAAAAACTCAGTATATAAAGTCTACCGGACAAGATTCATTCAATCAACCATAAAGCAGGGAGGCATATGAGTTAGACGAGGCACGATCGTGAGTTAAAGAAAGAGCATCGACCCTACCTACGTATTTTTGATAAAGTGCAGTATCTCTTCTTAGCCTATGTTGGAGTAAAAGATACCCCAATACGTCTTATGGAGTCAAGTAAGATCGATCTCGATCATAAGGACTACTGATCAAATAAGAACAATGTCCGAATGACTCAATCACAACGACGTCACGCGGCTACCAAATCTGCGCGACTACCTGCGTGGAGGAAGAAGAAGATGAGATTTGGACAATCCGCAAAACAAAGATCTTCGACCGACCAAGGATCCATCAAAGAAAGCAAAGGGTACCTTACCAAGAAAAGGCAGGTCAGGATGGATCCCATTCCCCTCGGGCCAAGCAGGGTAGGAGGACTGCGGAGACTAGGCGAGAAGGATACGTGCAAGTGGCGACCTCGGCGAAGTCGAGGCTATCTACGATGGACAAGGAGCCTTCGGGAAGAGAAGGGAGGAGCGACCTAGTGCCTGGACCTGGAGGTAGGGAGGTCCTACCAAACTCCGGAACCCTTCACCCCTCAATTTTCCCAGCGAGATCCGGTCGCCGCCGTGTTGTTTTCTGTCGAGCGCCGCCTGCAGTCGCTGCTGCATCGAGCGGAGGAAGACGAACGAGGACGCGTAGTTGGGCGGGCCTAGATTGGCCCATCAACTGCAGGCCACCGCAGGCCGCTGCGGCCATCCACGCCGACGCCGGTGCGCTGCTCTGACCGGTTGGCGCGCCAGTTGGGCATAAGAACGTAAGCATAAAAATAATCATCGAAGCGATCAATTCCTGTGCTTAAGCTCCCATAATCCCGATAGTCCAGAAATCACGAAGGATTTCAACCAACTCTCGACATACAAACCAAGATCGTAATGATTCAACACAACACATCATTCGTTACAACATTTCACAAGTAGCATTCGGATTACATCCATCAGAGTTCAAATAAAATATTACAAACCAAGTTTGAGTGTGCGGAAGCAACATAGTTTAGTACATAACTTCATAGTTTCAAATACATTGCCAGATCAGAGTCATGTCCCACAAAAGCATTATCAGGTGCGAGAACTAGTAGAGACCGCGTCCCAACGGTCTAGTCTTCATCCCCAATGGGGAGAAGCGGTGATTACGACAACCAAAGAAGAACTGGTCATCTCAATGGTGGAAATAAACCCCGAGTACGAGAAGGTACTCACTAGACTTACCCGACGAAAATCGAAAATAAACGACACACCAAGGATCATGCAAGGCTTTTCGTGTGGGCTAGCTTGACACATTTGCATAAAAGAGCTTATGAGCATAGTAACCAATTTAAACTTAGCATCAAGCTTATCATCATTTACCCGTCCACTAGATTAGCACCGTACTAGAGCACTCACTTATTAGGAGCAAACAATATTAACCATAGCAGGTATAATAAGGTCATCAACATCATATCATCATTTCCGAACCATTAAGTTATTAAGTGTATCTACATTGGAGATAAGCCCGTCAAGTTCTCACTAACCGGAGAGACGGCGATTCAATCGAATTACAACTCAAATTTGGGGATATTCCTAACTCTCACCCCGCATACTTTGCAAGGGTAGCCGTGGTCACCTTTGGAACATCTCAGAACCAAATTCGCGGGTTCGATCAGGCGCCAAGACTCTCGGGATTACCCTTACTTCCGCCAGACGATCAGGACTTTTAAATCACCTTCCTTGGACTCACGCCTCGGCTCCCTTCCGAGGCGCACTTTATACTTATCAACTCCCGCCCGAGGTGAGCTACTACTTTCCATGGCGGTCGGTCATCGGACACTGACCAACTAAGAGAGAGGCATGCGTTCAACATGAACAGAAAGGCTCCAAGATCCAGCCCTTAATCGACACACAGACGGAGTATCGCAAAACCGGCAAGCCTCCGTCCGGTCTTCATTTCAAATTAAGATCGTTTCTTTTCCACGATAGCAAATATAGCCAACCGTGCCACATGTATCTTCCTATATCTCGCAGTGACAGAAATCACCCGACTTCTACCGCGTTTAAGCGAGGCTAAGCACTACTCGAGCTCGAGCTACATAGGATTCGAGTATCAATATCTGGACAAGGAATGGTAACCAATGCGAAAGAAGTGTTTGCATCCAACACCTAAACTTAATGCAACAATATATGTAATAATAATATCAGAATCGCAGTTCGAAAATAGGAGGCTTAAAATGCTCCGGGGCTTGCCTTTCACAAAGTTGCAAGGACGGTGGTCGGGGGCACTCAACGGCGACCTCGTCTGCGCACTTCTCCTAAGGTCGCTCCTCCCGAATCTCCGGCGTCATTGCTTCTTGCTTTCGCTCGCCTCCTCGAATTCAAAGCAGGTTACTCCTTCCGGTACACCTATTGCATGTCGATGCACGAGATAAATATCAGGGATGCATAAGGAATGACATGATGCTCATGATGAATGAATCACAATGGGTGTTTACGAAAACATCACTGGACACTCGTTTACCGAGTAATTAGCTCTATTCAAATCACTTTAAGCATGTATCCAACTTAACTTAAATAACAAGAGCAACTTACCTAACTTGCATAACCTAAGATAAAGATGCTCATCTTCAGTTAAAGGCCTAACACCTAGGAACAGTACCATGAACTTAGAATAGTACGACATGCCTAAAATAAAAAGTTAAAGCTTCATATGCAACAAGTAGTAACTTAATTCTATCATAACCAGAGTTCTATAACTCCAAATGACTTGCAAGAGGACATTCTGGAAAGCTTATGAAATTCTCTACAATTCACTTGTAAACATCAAAGCATGATTCTGAAGTTAACCAAATCAATTTCCAGTAGACCTAGAATCTGTCCAGAATGACGGGGTTGCTAACTTAATTATTTAATGATGGTGCAAAAGCCCAATTTGACCAAACCAAGTTTACCAACTTGTTTTTCATATCTTAGAAACATCAGAAGGTATAGTGCTAACTTCTAAATAAATTATTTAATATCTTTTTCCCATTTATTTAGTTAATTAGGTGATTTAAGCAATATGTAGTAAAACTATTCATAAAAATCTACAAAAATTACAGTAGCTATCTCATGCTGTACATAGGCTACCATAAAAATTTCAAAGCCATTGGACCAACATAACTTGTTGTATCCAAAATAACAGATGCCATGTCTATTTCTAGCATAATTAGGAAACCTTATTAAAAAGTGTCAAGCAACAGATTTCCCATTTTTCCTAGCATCCTTTTAGCATAATACTAGCACCCATAAAATTTCACCTTCACTGGATCTATAGAAAAATTATGAAAATTCACACAAGATCCATCTATTAATAAAAGGAAATTCTAAAATTTAAAAACTACACATGCACTAGCTCTAAAATTTTTACCAGAGATTCACATAAGCAATAAAAGACTGCCCACAAAATTTCATAATTTTTGGACCACATAAACTCAAGATAAAATTCAAACAAGTTTGCATGCTTCTAAAAACACATTTCAAACTCCTATTTAATTCATCCAATTTTTCTAAAACAAGTGCTCATATAATATTTTTGTTAAATACTAGACATTATCATGAACTCAACAAAATTGGAACCATAGCATTTGGATCTATATACTAGGAGATACATATTTTTCAAGATGTACATAAATCTGTGAAATAAATCAACGAAATAAAATAGGAAAACAACTCTCAAATTTCTACTACTGGCCAGCCCAAGAACCGGCGGCCCATGACTCACTGTACTGGCACGGCCCAACGCGACGCGTGCCCACGCTGGGCTCCCGCCTCGATCATGACGGTGACAAGAAGGGCCCGCAGCGTCGTGAGGAAAAGGGGAGGCGGCCTCGGCGGCGGGAACTCAACGCCGGTGGCTTCTCCGGCGACACCATCTACTCTCGACGTTCGCCATGACCATGCGCATCTATTTGTGACCTCAACCGGTGCTATGGTGGTGGCTAGAGGGGTTGGCGACTAACACGGCGGCGCGCGCAGCCACGCAGCACGGCCGGCTCCGGTGAATCGACGACGACATTACTCGGTGACCCTCGAGCTTTGTGGTGTTCCTATGGCCTAGCGCGCATGGCGAGGAAGGAATGGGAGCGGCGCGAGGGCAGCTGGCCGCGTGGAGCGCCAACTCCGGCGAGCTCCCGCCATGGCTGCGGTGGGGGAAAACGGCAATGCGCTCTTACCGAGGCTCAAACGACTCGATTGAACGGTGGAGGTGATGGAGGGG